CTCATTTTACAGATGGGCTTCTCTCTGCTTTTCCAGGAGGGTCCTGATCTGTTTGGCTCAAGTGATCTTCCTGCCTCAGTCTCCCCAGTAACTGGGACTCTAGGCCTGCACCCCTGCTCCCAGCTCCCTTTATGTAGCTTTACTGATGAGGAAATGGAGGTGTGAGGAACATCTTGACATTCTGCAACCCCTCAAATCTGAAGACATGATAAACATTCTGAGATAGACCAGACTGTTTATATTACCTAAAGTTTATTTATATCCAATGTCTCTTAGCTATCCTAGCTAAGAGAACGCAGTCCTGGCTTCTGATGGTGCCTTGGAGGAGCATGTTGGCATGTTTCCAGTTATTTTCTCTCTCCCTCCAGCTTATCCCATTCTGCTAGAATGAGATATTTTAGCTCAAACATGGCATCTGTCAGGAGCTTATCATCACACATTAAGAGCTACTGATAACTGTTGTCTTAGGACAGAGTTCCTTAAGTTACCTTCAGACAGTGTAGTTGAGTGAATGAGAACACAGGGTGATCATGAAAGTTGCCCATCAAATGCCTAGAAAAGCCGGGTTCATCCCTTCAACCCTGCTGTGCAAATGCAGTATTAGGCAATGCTTCATGAGTAGCATGGCCTGGCCTTTTACAAGCATTTTCTCACTCAGTCTTTATACTGACTGAGTGAGACTTAGACTCAGAAGTGAAGAAACTTCCGAAGGGTGCTGTTAGACTTTCCTTGTCCGTAACAAATAACTGAGAGAAATTGTTTCAATAAGGAAAGGCATGCTTTGGCTCCCTTCTGGCCTCTTCAGTCCAGGCTTGGTTGTGATAGGCTTGTGGTGAGTCAGACATCATGGCATCAGGAGTGAGCAAAGCATCCCTCATACAGCCAAAGAAGACTGCACAGTATAGGAAGGGGCAGGACAGACACACCCCCAGAGACCTACTTGCACTAGGCCCCCACTCCTAAACTTACAACGCCTCCCCAACTAGGTCCACAAGCAAAGGACCAATGCTATTTCCTATTCAGCCACTAGTTGATATAGGGCTCTGCAGTCCTCATTCAGGTTGCCAATCTGTAGTCCCCACGCTGTGTGCATTCTCCCCAGCCATGCCAGAAGCACACAGAAACAACTATGAACCCCACATGATACTGTCTGCAATTCCTCACAGCCCTCAGTTAGCAGCTGGGAATGTGTCACCTACCCCAGATCTCAAGGGAGTCAGAGTTTCAAACTCTAGTTCCTCCTAATTTACTGGCTGTTTTTTAAATTGTGTAAAAGTATGCATTCAGATTTTGTTCAAGCCAAACTCATGCTGATATCCAGGATCTTAAGTAGTGACAAAAACACTTGTATTTAGGTCCTCAGGGTGCTGTGGGAGGAGGATTGCAGCCCTGTGCCATGCCTGGTTCTTCAGTACTTGCTCAAAAATTGCCACCTCCACAGTGCATACAGACAGGTGCTGACACAGGTGTGGAAGTGGCCGGACAGCTTCCTGCAAAGAGGATAAAGAAATGTCAGTGCTCTGTTGAGTGAATATTTGCATTTGTGAATATTCATGAGTGATGTCAAAGAGGAGCCCCTTCAGTGAGCCCAGGCCTGGCTCCGTTGGACTGGGTGGCATCAGTTGCTGTACACACTCAGAACATGAATGGACCAGGCCCTTCCTTTAGGTCAGAATTTACCTAGGAAAGCATTCTCACTTTTATACAGGCACACATCACAGCTCTTCCTGCTATCTGGAGAGAAACAACCCAGAAAAAGGGAGTCACACTTTGAAGAAGTGATGTTCATCTTACTTTGATTTTCAGGAGCTCTGATGTGGACTCCAGTGGGTATCTGAATGGAAACAGAGGAGTCTCCTTTTGACCCAATAGTTTGTGTTTTCTGGCATGACTGGGTTGAGTCTTGAGAATGTGATGAGAAGAATACTAAGAATTTCCCTCATGAAATGTTCACACTGAACTAGAAGCTTGACAGAAGTGCAGTTGGTTTTTGGATTGCCTGTTTTCCAAGTCTAAACCCTCTGGAAGGATCAGAAAAACTCCAGATAAAAAGTCCTGACTAGCCAGGTACTGGTGGCTTGCTTCTGTAATTCTTGGTATTCAGGAGGCTGAGCTCTGAGGACACTATATTAAAAAAGAAGCACCAGCAGGCAGTCCATGAGACTATTATATCTAAATGAATACCAAAAAAGACATTCACAGTTGTGGCTCAAATGGTAGAACACTAGCCTAACCTTTAGCACATAGGGTCAGGGACCTGAGTTCAAGCCCCAGAACTATCACAAATGAAAAGGCATGAATGAGAAACTTGCTTCCACAAAAGTTATTGAGTAGATTCTGCTATCCTGGGCCAAAGAAATCAAGAGCAGATGGCAGTAAAGATGGAAACACAGTCCCCAATGGCTTGTGGAGTGGTGGACATCTGGAGCCAGTGAGCCAATGCGTTGAGCCACAGCTGCAAGAAAGTTGGGTGCACAGTGAGGCCATGTCTATGGAAGATGGGCAAGCTTCCCCACCTGCTCCCTACCATGTGCTGTTTAAAATGAGGATTCTCTTGTCTTTTTGCAGTCCGCTATCTTGGATTGAGGAGAAAGGGCCTGGCTTCCAAAGAAACAGATATTTAAGCTTCCATTTCAAATCTGGATCTCTGGAAAATATACCAAATGTAGGTGTCAACAAGAACATTTTCCTAAAAGATCAAGATCTGTTTGTGCAGAAGCTCTTGGGCCAGGTCTCTGAGAAGGAACTGGCTGCAGAAAGGAAGCGTGTCCTACACTGCCTGGCTCTGGCAGACGCCGTCCAGAGGTGCTGCCGTGCTGAGAAGTAGGAGAGGAAGCGGTGGGCACCACCAGCACCGGATCACAGTGGGATGTTCTCAGCTGCTTGCCTCCATTCTTACCATTAAACATGTTGGAGAAAGAGGATATGTGTGCCATTACAAGCTGTAGGAATGAGATTTGGGGATGAACCCTGGGGTGGAGACAAGGAAAGTACTTACCATGGTGGAGCTGAATTGATTGTGCCATACTCCTCCTTCCATTTTTTATTCCACACCACCCTGGGAGGTGGATGGTTGTTATATTACCTTTGGGAAATTAAAAAGGATTAAGTCTATAATGTTATAACATGAAAAGAAAAGGTACATCAAATCATTTGTCAAAGGCCTGGATTCTACCCGCAGCCCTCACACAGTGGTCACTTCGTCAGGACCGGCAGGAGGAGGCAGGCATTATGTCATCAAGATACAGGATCAGCACCATGGTTGGCAGGACCAGTAGCCTGGTCCTAGTGATGGCAGTGGACACCATGTTGCCTCAGTGCTTCTGTTGGGTGGCTTTGGAGCAGGAAGCCCTGGACTCCATTTCCCATAAAAAAGCCCCCCCATGGCTCCAAGTTGGGCTGAATGCATACACCTCCGTGGCCCTACATGCGTGAACAATGCCAGTGAGTATAATTCACCATCATCAGAGCTTTGGGCAATGACTGTGACATCTTGAGCAAGGGAGATGGTGCATATGGGAAAAGATAGCATACAGGGAAGGGAGAACCCAGAATCTAGAGGCAGAAGGATGCCAAGGGTCTCCCTCCCCTGCCCAAATTGCCCACAGTGGAAACACTCGTTCACTTCCCTGTTACTTGAAAAGTGAAGGCCTCCCATCTCCACATTTCTCCACATCACCAAATCCAAGTCCAGGCTCCAGCCCTCTCCACCTACTCTCCCCATGCTCCATGGCACCAGAATGATCTCAGCCCTAGGAATGAGCCCTAGCTCATTCCCCTCCATTAGCATGATCGCCTGTGTACTTTCCACTTCTGCCTCAGTGAACGTGGTGCAGAAATCACTGGCTCTCCATGCCCTCGCCCCTCATTCCATGAGCCCACTGAATGATCCCAGAGAATGGCCTCAAATCCTCTTGGACCCCAAGCTGCCACATGTTCCCACTCTCCAGAAGAGTGGAGAGCTGAGGATACAGGACACTGAACAAACAGCCCATTCTTTTCAGCGTCCCACCTTTCACCCATCCTCTCATTAGCACACAAACATTGTGGCAGGCAGAGCTGAATTCAGCATCTTGCTCTAATGCACGCATGTGAGGACTCATATGGATGCACTGTGTCTGTGTGGATGAATGTATGTCCATATGGTGTCCATGAATGTATGTGAGGTCATGTGTATACCTCTCTCAATAGGTGTGTTGAACATTGGAGTCTCATGGGTAGGCTTCCAAATAGGGAAGACCTCATCTGTGTCTACACTTGTGAAATTCTCACCCCATGTGAAGCTCTAATCTTGCATTTCCTGTTTGTTTCTTTTGTTCATTGTTGGCTTGCATGGATTTGAGACAGAATCTCTTGCCTAGGTCAGACTAGCCTTGAACTTGGTATCCTCCTCCCAGAAGCTCCCACTGCAGGAATAAGAGGCCTAGACAAGGACAACTGGTTGGCAGTTTATTCTGTCTAGACACAATGTGCAGGGCCTGAATGTCTACAAGAGTGCAGTGAAAATGATGGACACCAGCTGTAGGGTTCCCAAGCCTTGGATGGACACAGAGTCCTTTCAGTGTATGACATCCTCAAGCAGGTGCTGGGTGGAAGCCCTAGGAGTGAGTGGGTGACTGGAGGAGGCAGGCAAGCACAGGCACTTGTACATGGGGAGGCAAACTGGAAGGAGGGATCGGGTGTGAGCCCAGTGTGTCCTCATAACCACGACATTAACTGGACAGAGGACAGAGGTTGGAGTGTGTCTAGTTTTTCTCCTGACCTGCCACGGGGCCCAGCCAGCACTCAGGGGCCATTTGCAGAGGTCTGGTCTGAGGCTGAGGCTCAGAAAAGGGGACCTCCATTGGTGCTGTGATCTCCGGAGATGATGTCAAAAGGGCCAGGTTACCAGCACTCACATTGCTATGCAGCTGAGCCAGCTCAGTGGTATGGAAAGCTGAGGGGCAGCAGGATGTTTTCCTGCTGTTGCCTGCTATTCCGCAGAACAACTCCACAGAGAGAGTTTGATTATAGTTCGCAGGCGCTGGGTAATCGCTGTCCAGGTCACCTGATCAGAACTCCACCATGCATCCCACAGGTGAATCAAGGAGGAGGGAGGGTGAGTCCCCTCACCTACTACCTTCTGGCAGCCTCAGAGCCCATATGTGGGTACATTCATGAGTGTGTGTGTGCACACGCATGCAAGCCCAGCCCAGGCTATTTTCATGGTATGGCCCCAATCCTTTTCCCAGTGTGCTGCTGTTTCCGTGTTTGAACTGTGTCTCATTTCTTCACCCCAGTTTGGGTGGGTTTTAGCTCCAACTGATCCTGATCCCTGCAAGGCAGGATACCTGCAGGGAGGCAAAGTGGAGAAGCTAGTAGACCACTTAGTGCCTGCCCTGCTCTTCGGAGATGCCTTGTTTATCCCAGTATTTCTGGGGACATTCCACACTTTCATGACTGCCCATCCGTATTGAACCTGCTGTTCAATAGGTAAGCGCCACCTCTGATCCTTGGGACAGGCCCACTGGCTAGGCCTTGGCATGTGCTGCACCAGTGCGGATCTGTTTGGATCCTGGCTACTGGCATGCTAGGACTAACATCCTCGCTGCCTGAGGCTGGAGCAGTGGGATGGGCCCTGAACAGGCCTGTCCACATTATGACCTTACACCCCGGGGAGCGCAGGGCTGTGGGCGGACTGGGAGAAGCCCCTTCTCTCATGAAGGCCCCCTTCTCTACATCGAGGCCTCCTATGAATAAGACCTCAAGAAAAGCATTTTCCAAATTGACAGTGGTGGTTGATGTCCCATATGGGTGTCCTGACCTACGTGAACCTCACTAGGAAGCGAAAGGGAAACCCTGACAGACCCTGTGCTAATTCCGGTGTGTGGGAGGAAGGTAGTGGGCTCATCACCTTGTGTGGGGATACATTTCTAGACACTTGGAACCACTCAGTGAAAAGAACACGGAAATCGTTGTTATCCATCCTGTTGTTCCATCCTGTGCCCAGAGAGACCACTGGGACTGTAGACTTCACATGTAGACACAGTGCATGTGACAGTCTCATGGTTACCCCTAGATATAGCCGTTTCCTTGATTATGAGGAGAAGGCAGGCATGCAGGAGCACCTGCAGCGGTGAGTGTGCCTGGGGGAGGAGGGAAGGCATGTGTCTTCATGGTGGGTGCAGTGGAGAGCTGGCCTTGGAGAGGCCTGGGCAAAGGGAAATAGCAGCCACTCCTAAAGGAATGCTCAAGTCCAGGTAGAAATGTGTCCACGCAGGGAGTTAGTTTGGCTTGTTCTGTACTTGAGAGTGTGGGAGAAGCCTCTGGCACTGTGACCAGCCAGTCCCATGTGCCTGCCCTGGGATACCTCAGGACCACACAGAGCAGCGAGGCCTACACTGTGCCATCATGGACAATCCTCTAGGATTCCGTGAGTGCACAAGGGCCAGGGTGTGCTGTTTTGGTTGAGAGTCAGGCAAAGACCAGTCACACATGGCTCTAGGACATTGAGGCCTCTAGAGGCTGCATGAGTGAGGACATTGTGGGTTCTGGGGACAAGGCACCCCAGGGCTGACAGTTTGAGGGGCATGCCCAGGGACACCAGGAGCTCTGTGTGGGTGGGGGGGTTTTACCTGTGATGTAGGTGGAGTAGCATCCCTTGATTAGACAAGGTCTTTAGTGCAGCCAGTTGACCAGGCCTGCCATGGGCTATGGACTGGAGCAGGCCCAGGAGCCCAGCTCCCGCACCTGTGCTTGAGGGGGGTCTGAGAGGAGGAGAGGCCCAACCTCTGATTCTGCTGCTTCTCCCACTACATCTAGAGCCTTCTTTCATATTGGGCTCATGGATGAGGGAGTACCCACAGGATTTCACTGACGCACTGGACACATCTGCCTGTAACACATGGTAACATATCTAAACTGCAATGTGCCTGGCTCTGTGGAGGAGCAGCAGGCCTCCACATGCATCCCAAGCAGCCCGAGCTGGAGGGTGAGTAGCATGGGCTGGCAAAGGACAGAACAGGTGGGGGATTCCAAGCTTTCTCCACCTGAAGGCAGCTCCCAGCCTACCATGGTGCCCTCATCAGGACAGTCCAGGAGCCTGGATGGCTTGGCATGAAACCTGTCCTTGCTAGGCTTCCTGGGGTTGAGTCCAGGAACTGGGGCTTCTCAGGCAGGCAGGGGTCTCATGGCCTTAGGAATGACTGAGGGGAGGGCAGTGCTGTAGGAGATCATTGCTTGCAGCTGTTCTACCAGCTGCAAGGCTTGATGAGAAAACCAGTGTACAACAAGAGTCACCTGAACCACTGGATCCAACACTCCGCATAGAAGCAGGGCTACCATGACAGAGCTGGAACTAGCTGCAGCCTCAGAGGCCCCCTCAGCTCCAGGAGCTGCAGTGTAGCTCCAGCGAGAACCCAAGGCAGACGGATGTTCTGACTCACCTGCACCATCTTTGACTGAAGAGATGAAGCCACCTGCAGGTCAGCCAATGGCCCACAGCCTTCCACCGTCACCAGCACCAAGTCTGGATCTTGACCTGCAATATGCAGATCCTCTCTCAGGTGAAAAAACAGTGGCTGCTCCCCCATTGCCAGCGGCACTGAGTCCAGTTGCTCCAATAGCTTTAGAGCCAGCAATTGATGTGCCAGTGCATGCAAGAGATGAGGGGATGTCATTGCCCACTCCAGAACCCCAATGGCCTGAAGACCAGACTGTCCCAGTTCTACCACCCATCTAAGAAGGAGAAGCATCTGCAGTTCAACCAGAGGCCCCAAAGCCCACTGCAGGGAACAGCTCAGGGCCAGAGCTAGAGGCTGCAGGAGAGGAAAGATGGGAGTCTGCTCTCCTTGCACCTGGGGAGCAAGTGGAATCTTGCCCGCTTGCTGGAGAGACTGGCTGCCTTGAGCCTGTTGCTGAGCAGCCAGAGCCACCCGTATAGGAGCCTCTGCCGCCCAACCGGGATGTAGCACCCGTCCCATCTGCGCAGCTGGATGCTGACGCAGGCTTAGGAGGGGACTCTCATCCAATTAATGACTTGGATGAAGACCATGAGCTGCCAGTGGCTGAAGACACCAATGGTGCTCTGCCCTGTGCTGCCGAGCCAGAGCCTGCACACCTGCCATCTAGCAAGGCAGACAAGCCAGCTGTTATGCACCCAGATCCCTGGGACTGTTTTGACGTGGGAGATTTGCAGATTTCCTCCAGGGAGCCAGCCTTGATTTCGATGATGGAGTCAGACCATGATGAGGATATAGCTCATGTGCTAGAGCGGTTGCCCGACCTGAAGGTGAAGCAGTTGTCCCTCATGGCAGTGGTGAGTAGCTTGGCAGGGCTGGGCATGCAGGCTTTCCTTTGCACCTCTACTGCCACACCTGCCTCAGGGCAGAGTCACGCTGACCCTTTGTTTCCTCTCTGCAGAAGCTGTTCAAAGGGCTGATCCCTGAACAATGCTTAACCTATATATATATTTACAAACGTGACCACGAGGAGGGTCTGGAGCACCTGGCACCCACTGTGCTGGCCATCCTGGAGCACTGTGAAAAATTGCACACCTGTGTGATCAGCACATGCCTCGGGGAGCACAGCACAGAGGCAGCAGAGAGGGCCCAGGTGTTGGAGCACTGGATAGACGTAGCTTTGGTATGCGCAGGAGGCGGCCCCGTACCCTTCTGCCCTTTCCCACACTCACCAGGTGCTGCCTGCCCACTCACAGCCACTGCCTGAACCCTCAAGCCCTCCTTGTGCTCT